TATCAAACATGCTGAGCTAGATCTGGAGATAAAACAGATTTTATTATTTTATTTATTATTTATTATTTTATTTATTTTATTATTAACAGATATTGTATGATATATCTACTACAATTCCAGCAGTATACTACCTTCCCAACAAACATACCAGTTCTGTATGTGTGAATAGGTGCTTTTCCACCTATTAGCTTCTGATGGGTGAAGCTGTGCTCCACTGGGAATTTTACTCTGCAGGTTCATATGGAGATGATCCTAAATACCAGGTTGGTGTTCTCAGTGCCTTGGTGAGAGATGATTTAGTTGATTCCATGGCTGACAGCTCATGGCTTGGTATTTTTATGTTCCTTTAGGAATTCATGAAGGTGCTTCTCAACACAGTAAAAGCCTCAGAAGAGACTGAGAAACTCCAAATAAAATAATGCCGGTGAAAAAACACAATTTGTGCTTGCAAGATTTATTTGGTCTGTAGCATTTCTGAACACATCTGCCTCTTTTGCATCTTTCAGGCTGTGGGTTTGAGGAGCCACAGTGCCGAAGGAAGCGGAAGCCAAGGAGCCAGATGCAGTAGCTCTGCCTCCATGTCTAGCAGCAGTGTATGCAACTTGGCTCATCTTTAGTAATTGTATTTTCATTCCTGCTTTCCAGCTGTGTGTGCTGCTTAGTGATTAGAACCATGAAAAAAAAAAAAAATCCATGAGTTTTCTTTGAGTGGAAGAGGGTTCCTCAGTCTCTGTTGCTGTCGTATCAATGAGCCTCAGCTGTCCCTTGCTTAAAGAAGGCATATTTTGTGCGCCAGGTATTCATAGGCAAAAAATCCACCAAAGCCGTATGTGTCAGCAAGTGGTATCTGTACAGACAAAGCTTTGAGCTGAGGTAGGGGAAACTTATATCAGGTTTAGTTTAACTACATGTGACAGAAGGCAATAATGAGTCAGGTGTTTGCCTTGACAATCCCACACCTGTAATACTCTCTGAAGGATTTTTTTTTTACAGTAATTTTTACAGTAATTGCATAAATAGTGACATTTCTTCCAGTAGTAGCATCTTCTAGATGAAGAAAATAAGAGCTCCGCTGACAGAGGTAGAAATCAAAGGTGAAAACAATAGCATTCAGACTTCTGCCAAGAGCTGCTTGCCTGCACTGCGATCCTGACCTTATCCAGGCAGTAATATCTTCCTTCCTGGACCTCGCAGCACGTTCCAGGAACTCAGGGACTTGTGCTGAACAACGTGTTGCTGCTGTTAGTCTGATATCAGTAACACTGCCCCTAAGCAGATGCCAAGAAACGTCACTCCATGCTGAACTCCTTGCCCACCACTTGCACTTTTATATAAACGGTGTTGGTTACTTGTGGGGACACAAGGGCAGGAGGAGGGCAGTCCCTGTACAATTTTTGTTCTCTGGAACATCATTTGTGGTTGTTCCCCCCACTTCCTCATTATCATTGTTTTGTTTTCTACTCTAGATTTATATTTTCTTGACATCAGTGTAAATGTTGCCAATAGCGATGATTACAGTGTATTATGTGGAAACTGGAATGGAAATTGTACAGGTGGAAAAATCAGAGAAACAGAAGTCCATCAAAAAGAAGGAAGAAGTGGGACAGCAACCTGTTGGAGGTGGACAGGATTCAGCTGTACAGCACTGATCAGAGCTAAGTTCTCGTGAACAGACACACTGTGCACATTATGTTGTGAGAAGTACTGGAAAACTGCGAGAAAACATTCTCAGAATTATTTTAGGGCATTAGAATGTTGTAAAATTCCTAAAGTGTGGTTCTTGCTTGGGATTGTTGTGCTTAAATGAGAATTCTCACCTGTATAATTTCAAACTTCAGCTCAGCTTACAATGCAGATAGAAACCTGTATGCAGATACATGCTGCAATGTTTCTGCTAAGCATCGCCATCCAAGCAGATTCTGGTGGGTTATGGTGAGCGTCTGCACTGATGGAACGTGCAGGTGTCATAGTGTCCCCAGTGTCTCAAAATTGCACATGAGTGCAAAAGACCATATGTATATGTAAAAGGGGGGGAAAAAAAAGCTATTATTTCATTTCATGCTGAGCTTCCATTTCCATTTTCATTTTTGGTAATTAAGAACTCTTCTTACTGAGTGCAGCCCAAGTGCCATTTTATCTAATGCCACTGCATTGACACTTACTCATGGAAGCTTTGTTCTGCAGCAAGACGCAGTGCAATGCTGAGCAGAAGCCAAGGAGGAAGCGATTATGGCCGAGGAGTTGATGCTGATTGAAAACGTGTGATGCTACAGAGGAAATATCACACAATAGAACCTCAGTTCGTTTGGAACTAGATTTCAAAAACAAGGCACATGAAGATGTAAACAGTCAATAGCAGCGGGTCCCACCTTTCTGCTAACAATCAGCTCATTAGTGGTAGAAGCACGCAGAATGATTTCTATGATTAAACCACAAGTGCAAAGTGTGCGCTCACCCAATACACGGAAACTGCCTTCTTGCTTTTCACCATGTTTCTCCTACAGCTTGTCCCACCTCATCCTGGATGCACGTCAGCCACAAATACAGTTTAAGTCAGGAGCTGGAAACGCTTGAGATCTTTGAAAAGGCAGCTTTATGATTCTTTAAATTAAAATCGTTAGGAGCAGAGTGGAAGCAGTCTTTGATGTGAAATGAAATAATTAAAACAGTTGATGGAGTTCAGAACTGTTATAATTTGTGTTGATCTGTGGGTAAGGGGGACAGCCTCCTGTTCTATCCAGAGACTGGTTTAACATCCCGCGTAGTTCACAACATTGGTCAAATCATTTGAGTTTTATGCTCTAACTTCTGACATCACTGTTTTTGATTAGTTCAGAGGGGGCAGAAAGCAGTAAGCAAGGCAGCTTTCACTCTGGGGGCTGCACCATTTTATTTGTGGATAAGACATGTGTGATTCTCTACAATCACATCACATAATGCCTGTAGTTTTGGGCTTGGTTCTATTTGTCCTTTTTCTGACCATCAGTAGAAGAGCGAAGCTGCCAGCAGAACTGCCTTCAGCTGAAAGGGAATCGCCAGACCACCCTGCTGCTAATGTTTGGCTCCAATGCACAGATATGCCCACAGCACTGTAGAGCATCATTCCTGGCTGGCACATCATCATCTCAGGCCTCTGAGCACCTGAACACCATTTATAAAAGTACCAGAGTCTTCTTTTCCCCAGGCTGAACAGATGTGAGTTACTCAGCCTTTCCTCACATGGGAGATGTTCCAGACCTTTTATAATCTTTGTAGCCCTCTGCTGGACTCCTTCTAGGAGATGCCTGTCTTTTTTTTGAACTGGAGAGCCCAGAACTGGACAGGGTATTCTAAATGTGGCCACAGCAGGGCAGAGTAGAGGGGGCAGATCACCTCCCTCAGCCTGCTGGTCACGCTCTGTTTAATTCACCCTAGGATACATTGGCCTTCTTGGCCACAAGGGTACACTCTTGTCTCGTGGCCAAACTGTTGTCCACCACAACGCTCAGGTCCTTCTCTGCAGAGCTACTCTTCAGCAGGTCATCCCTAACCTGTAGTGATGCATGTGGTTATTCCACTCCAGATGCAAGGCTCTACATTTAGAATGAAATAAGGCATTCAGTATCTCCACCTTCTCAGAGTCCTGTTACCAGGGCACCTATCTCATTATTAGGGGACTCATATTTTCCCTAGTCTTCCTTTCACTGCTGACATGCTTAAAAAAAGCCTTTCTTGTTATCGTCTACCTCCTTTGCAAGTTTTAATTCCAAGAAGGGCCTTAGTATTCCTTGTTGCATTGTTACAGACCTTGACAGCATTCCCATATTTTTCCCAAGTGGACAAGCCATTTCCTCACAATTTGTGGACCTTCTCCTTTCCTTTTAGTTTATCTATGAGTTCCTTGCTCATCCATGCCACTTTTCCCTGATTTCTTACTCCTAAGGTTGCACTGATCTGGAGCTTGGGAGAAGTGGTGTTTTAAATATTAACCAGCTCTCATGGGTCCCCTTACCTTCTAATGTTCTAGCCCATGGGACACCTCCAAGTAGGTCTTTGAAGATCAAAATTAGCTCCTGTGAAGTAGGGTAGCAATCCTGCTTGTTGATCTTATTGCTTTGCTTCTCCCAGACGAGATTTGGAACTCCACCATCTCATGATAGCTACATCTCAAGCTGCCTCCAGCCTTCACATCCCTGACCAGCTCCTCCTTGTTAGTAAGAACAAGATCAAGTAGCACACCTCTCCTCATTGACTCCTCCACCATCTGCATCAAAAAGCTACCTTCAACACACTGCAGGAACCTACTAGGCCATGTGTACCTGGCTGTGTATCTTATCCAACAGATATCAGGATGATTAAAGTCCCCCATAAGAATCTTACAAGATCTTACAAGAGATTACAAGACTACTTCCAGCAGTTCGTAAAAGGCCTCATTAACTTCTTCCTCCTGATCAGGTGGCCTGTAGTTCATACCCACAGTAGCATCACCTGTGTTAGTTACCCCTTAATTCTTACCCACAAGCTCTCCACTTTTTCATCATTCACCCCCAGGTAGAGCTCAGTACATTCTAGTTGCCCTCTCACATAAAGAGCAACTACACCACCTCGCCTTGCCACCCTGTCTTTTCCAAACAGCACATGGCCACCCATGACAGCATTCCAGTCATGTGAGTTGTCCCCCCAAAGTCTCTGTGAACATGATGAGATCATTGCTCTGTGACCACGCAGAGATCTCTAGTTCTTCCTCTTATTTCCCATGCCATGTGCATTGGTATACAGGCACTTAAGGGAAGCAGAGGGTGCCAGGCTATTAGCAATTAGCAGACTTTACACAGTGATGCTTCAAGTACTCCAGGAGAAAAAGGACACAAATGCATACTGGCCATTTACCTGAACTCAGGGCAGGCTGAAGGCACCAAGAAGCAGGGATGAAGTGGGCAGAGGAGAGCAGTATCAAGTCGCAGAAGCAAGGAATGAGGTGGAAAGCAAAGTCAAGGTTAACAGAACAAAGAACAAAGACATACTGAACATGAAAGTTTATTAAATACCAAGTTGGAATGTAATACCTGGAATTAAATACAGTGTCTTAGGGTCACAAAATTGTATTCACGTAAAAAGGAGCAGAGAGTTGCAGCAACATTCACTACATCTCCTCACTGCTCAACTCAAGTTGTTGAATTAGTGGGTAAAAATTTTTTTTCCAGTTTCTGTTTGCTTCAGTACAACATTCTCACATCTCTGGAATGTTGACTCTATTTGTTGTGTACTATTTTAGCAAATTTTGTAGACAAGGAATGACTACTGCAGATCTTCAGTAACATGTAATTGTTAACAAAACGGCTTGTCTTACAGACACAAAGTCCCACAGCATTACTCTTCACCTGAGTTGCAGCAATTTTATCACCAGCTGTTAGCAGCAATAAAAACCTGTCCCACCACACAAATAGTGTTAAGTACCAATTGGACCGAAGGTTGAAATGTTAATTTTCCATCTTCTCAGTATGAACTGCTTCAGGTTCATCCCATGTTGATCTAGCAACTGTGAATGTCTTAGGTTGAATCAAATTCTAATGCAAAACCCAACATGGATACTAAACCAAAAAGATCACATTAAAGCTTTCTTGGCACTGCTACACACTCACAGTATTTTTAAGCCCAAGGTGCATATAAGTGAAACAATGTAAAGTGCATCCTTCTCCAGCTTAAACATTGGTAAAACTTTCACTTAATCAGCAGAAATATTCACAGCACCAGGACTGAAGCAGCTGGCAGAACAAACAAATAACAAATAATAACAAATAAGCCAAACAAATAACCTCCTATGCATTAAAATAACACTGGAAACACACAGACAGTGAAAGGGTTCAACAGAACAAGGGGAATGCTTTAAAATGCTTTAAAACAAGGGGAATGCTTTTAAAACACAGAGCACAAGTGGAGCAAAATAATGCATCAAAAACATTCTGACAGTTCTGTCAAGTTCAAGAATCAATGTTACTCAATCTGATAGTAAGAAAAAATAGATATGGCTCTTACTCTGAGTGCAAAATAAACTAACTACATCTCAGTGACCAACAGGTAAGTGCAGAGTGCTTGACACCTATTTAATACATTTTTAACTTATTGCAGTTTGAATATAAAGATGTTTCCACATCCAGGCTGCAGGATGGGAAATCAAAGACATCCTATGTAAACAAAATGATTTCCAGTACTTTTCCCTTTGCATTTTTGTTTAGATCAGATAATTTTTGTTTAAAACATCACGGTACTCCTGTATTGCTCTGCTAAGGGGATCCTGGTCAATATTGAGATTTTTTGAAGATCCATCAGTAGACATCATTGGAGAAGCTCTAGCAGATCCAATTTCAAGTTCAGCATTGGCTAGAAAGAAAAGAAACAAGATTCATGATGTTACTTTTACAGTAGATTGAGTCAAATAAGTCACTGTAAAAACATTACTGGTAACTGAACAAGCTACACTCTAGAGAAAGATTTAAAAAACTTCCAAGGACAACAAAAATAAAAAAGGACAGGAGGCATAAAGAAAGAAGCATTTTTTCCAAATTCAATTATCAGTCAACACTAGAGAAAGAAATTCCAGAGGTCTTAGAATCACAGAATGGTTTGGGCTAGAAGGGACCTTTAAAATCATGTAGTTCCGACCCCCCTGCTATAGGCAGGGACTCCTTCCTCTAGGCCAGGTTGCTCAAAGCCCCATCCAGCCTGACCCTGAACGCCTGCAGGGTGGGGGTATGGTATCTCTGGTACCTCTCCAGGCAACCTGTTCCAGTGTCTCTATGCACAGCAGCAGGGACTCTGGCAGAATGATAATTATGAAACAGGTGAATTCCTCTCTGAATGTATGCAAGGAATGCATGCAGAAAGAAATATGGTGACTGAAGTCTATAACAATCTTATTTCAGGGCTCTTTTTCATTTGGCGTTTGTGCCTGAGGATGAAAGGTGACTTCAATTTAAACCAAGTGTATCTGTATGGGGGAGATGGTTTGTTCTCTATGCTTTTTCTCAAAAGTAACTGCAGAACATTCTGAACAGTATTTTGGTAAGCAGGAAGTTTTCCATTAAAACTCTGAATTGGAGAGTTAAAAAACAAACAAACAAACACTGTGCTTCAAACAGGATGTTGACAACTTTTGAAAATAATTGCATGAAATTTACAGTCATCATCTTCCTTAAAAACACTGATATGAGAGTAGCACATTACCTTGTTCAAGTTCTTTAGTGATTTTTTCATCCAGTTCCTTCCGTACCTAGAATTACACATAACACAGAATTGAGATTTCAACTTTAACATCCACACATTATGTGTGGTGAAACCTAAAATGCCATCCCAAATAGGGACATCTTGGTTTGGAGTTTGAGTTTTCACAACGACAATCTCTTGGTCAGTGAGGCTGTAGCATTCTCATTGCTGAGCAACATTAACTTTAGCACAAAACAATCTATAATTCACCAGCTGAACCATAAAAAATACAGCAAGAAAGCACAGTGGTTTTATAAAAATGTATACATGGTTAATGTCTATCTTTAAATACGTATAAAAATATAAAAACACATTATTCCTTTGCTAACTGTCTTGTTAGCTTGCTTACAAAGCAAGTGCTGTGCATTTTATTATGTAACAGAAACCAGCTTGGATCACTAGAAAGGAGCATTTACCCTTTGCTCCCCCAGGAGCTGTTTATTTACTGTCATTTATTCTGAATGCAAAGTCTTCATAAGGAGAAATCAGGCCTTTTAAAGGCCACAGTCCAAAGACTGTATGCTACTGTTTACTTTGATGATATGTGACTCCTGCATTATTTTCCATCAGGTTTGTTATACACAGAAGTAATTGTCAAAACAGACAGCATACAGCTTCCAGACTTAGGTGAGTAGCAAATACAACCAAGTGCTTGGAACATGTGGCTGATGTGGAGGGGTTGAGAGCACCAGGACTGTTCAGCCTGGAAGAGAAGGCTCACGGTTTCACCTGCAGGTGTAATTATCTGATTGTGGGATGGACTATAAGGAATACAAGGTAGATTCTTCTCAGTGGTGCCAAGTAAAAGAACTAGAGTAATAGACAGAAGTCAAAAGAGTGGAAATTCATAAGACTGCTACAAAACAGGAGTGAAGACAGGAAATAAAATCAGAAAAAGAACAGAAACTGGGAGATGGAATGGGAAGAAAGTGTTCCTTTTCTTATGCTACCAGTAGGAAAACTGGTTTCATAAATCCATGCACTCACACAGGTTGCAACTAGCAGAGTTCACCATTATCTTCTGTGCCTACTTGTCAGAGCAGCATTGTTTATAATCAGCACAGCTTGCTTCTTCTAACAGTTGCATGGATGAAATAATTGATACCAGCAATCTAAATGATGGCAGTGTGAAGTATTTTCAGCTTCTTGTCCTTGTAGCTCTTTCAAAGCTTTTGTGCAAATCAAAGCCAAAATCTACACAAGCTTCCTCCTCCCAGGAGATGCATATACTCTACTTCAGATAACCTCCCTTACTTTGAAAAACACCAAATGTGCACCGAGAGCTTTAAATAAAAACACAAGAGCAAGATGACTACGTGACTGCACCTTAAGCTCCTTAACTCCCTGTCATTATGAGCTTTACTGTCAGGAGTACTTGTAATCTTTTCCATCCAAGAAGGCAGCACTTAGCTTGAATTTGATGGCAATACAGAGGTGGTTGCTTTGTTGCTTTTTTTCTTTCTTTTTTTTCCTCCTCTCAACAGAAGGGAACAGATTACTGGAAAAATGTGAGGTCTAACTGAAGCAAAGAAAAGGCTCAGAGTCAGATAAACTCTTGTCTTTTTAAGCAGTCTGGTGAACAGGCAAAGTGCTAAGCAGCACAACTGGTGAAGTACTTTAGAGCTACTGCAGAGGATGCGATCACATATAAATTGCTGCAAAACATTAGAAAGCTGTGAAGGCTTCCTGAAGAGTAGGTTGTTCTCTTCTCAGATAATAATACATAGCAGGAAGCACAAAGAGAAATGTTTCCTAGGCACAGCATGCATCCCACAGCAGACTGTATAGGAAGAAGCAAAGAAATCATACTCATATCATCCTAGTTTTGAACCATGTCTTTGTTAGTATTTACGTACTAAAAGAAATTAAAAATGAAGATCAGTAAGGAAAGAAAAAGTTGCTTGACAAGAGATGTCTGACAGGCAGGGCAAAGATGTCAAAGTTATCCATCTAAAGTATGTCATACACTTATACACATACTATACATTGAAGTTTAATAAATAGCTTAGCTGGGAACTTCTAATGCCACAGCACTGCTTATTAAATTCTCTCTTGTTGAAAAAAACAAAACACACAAAAACCTTGTACATGTACATAGGTATGTATATATATATATATAGTACATATATATATATAGTTAAATAGTTCACTGTTTAGATGCCAGTATTATTGGTGTCTGAGCACTCTTGGAATTCTGTACAGTCTTGATGACCATATTTTACAATGCTTACCTTATCCATGTAGGCTTCAACATTGTTTCTTGACGATAACGCATTCCCAGCTGTGCCTACAAAGCTTCCTCCTAGGTTGAGACTTCTGTTCAGTGCCAGATTGTTGCCAAGATGCCCCAGTTCAGTTGAATACAGAACTGGACTTGCAGGCAGACCTCCTGCGACAATGCTGCTTGTAATTAAAGATTTGTTTCTGTGGCGCTCCTGAAAGAGCTTAGCATTAGCTTCTGCTAGTCTCTCATTGGCTCTGAAACATTTAAAAACATGCAAAGAATTATTTTTGATAGTATTGTTGCAGAGTCACTTCTTCCAGGTCTTTGGCTACTATTCAGCTTTTGCAAATAGAAGGCATTAAGAGTCCAAAACGAGAGGGGCCCAAAGGCCACCTGTTAAAATGCTATTAACTTCAAACACATGCTAGCGTCATGACTGGTGGTGTGACTGCTAGAACACTGAAGTGAAATGATGATGGTTCCAAAAATAAAGGGGAAAGGTTTTAGAGGGCTCTTTCATAAAGATGTCATCTTAGGTTTACGTCCATAATGCTGACAAGACACAGAAGAGAGAGTTTAGGAGGAAACAGTACAGGGTTTTTCATGCAAGCTAATGCTACTTTACATCTTGTAACCACTCCAAAAAAGCATGGACTTACCTTTCCAGCTTATTTCCTAGGCTTCTTCTAATTTTCACTTCTTCTAGATACTTTTCTTTGTATTTTTCCACTTCTGCCTGTGTGGATTCTTTTTGAAAAATACTGTCGTGTTGAGTATTTTTTATTCTGTCCAACTCACATTCAAGATCTTTAATTCTGTGCTTTAGTTGGTTTCTCAGTGAGGCATGATGATTGTCTCTGATTTGTTCTAACCTGTCCTGGGAGGCTGCCTGTGTCTGAAGCAGATAACACAATTTCAACCATTGCAAAGAAAAGGTGAACTGCCTCTCCCCAAGACAGTTGCATATAACCAATTTTAAGGGCCCAGCTGAGACAACTGGACCTCCTCACTACCATCAGTAATCAAGGCAGAACCTTGGAACCAACACATTAAATAACTGTTTTCATCCAGACAGAGATCTGCTCTTAGCAACATTACTCATCACAGCAGCTACTAAAAGAATGCTCACAAAAAGGGCACACAAAAAGGATTCAACAAAGAAATTATGAGAATGCCATCCCCATTCTTTCTGCCCCATCAGCGACTTCTTCTCTGAGCATTTTATCCTGTACAATGATAAAACACAACCTGTATGTATGGCAAAACTATCTCTAAGTTACAATATTCATGTGATAACAGCAATAACAAGATGACCAGATAGCAACAGCCTCTAAGAACTGCAGAACAGAAGCCTGTCATGGGAACACTATTAAGCTGGGAACCTGCAGGCAAGTTACACACACGAAAGCACTTCTGCCCAACCATTTTCTGTTCTCCCACTTCTTTTCAGGAAAGACAGAAGTACAGCACTAACACAAAGAATCAAAACATGAACAAAAAATGACAAAAAAAAAAGTTTCATAATAAAGACTACAGACATACACAACAAATTCATTTACCTGCAAAAACAAATTGACTTCTTGTAGCTTTTGTCTGATTTCTTGTCCGGCTCGTTCTTCCATCTCTTTCTTGTATTGTTCTATTTGGCTGTGATTCACCATATTAACCTCCAAATGATGTCTGAGGCTTGCCACCTCTTCCTTCAACTGGGATTTGCTCCTCTCCAGCTTTTCATGGTTCCCACGCAGAACAGACAGCTCTTCTCGCAAATCCTGGTTTTGTGTTTCCAGCTGGATGCATTTTTTAGACTCTAACTCCAGCTGCTGAGAAAGTTCAGTAACCTGCAGACAGTAAGAAAATGAACTTAGAAGAGTATAAAATTATTCTTTGAAAATTCATAAAGAGGAAAACCATCAAGTCTGTAACCATCACCTGCTGACTCAGAGTCAAAGGAAAGTCAAGCTCATCTTTTAAAAGAACAGCTTTTAAGTTCTTGCCAATAGGATTCCTCAAGTTCCACCCTTCCTTAGTTCTTCTACAGCAAGTAAAAGACCGACAAGTACCAAACCAGCAGAATTTCACTGTGGGAGTGGGCTGAAAGGTGCTAGGGCCATTCTTCCGTGCACTGCTCTATTGCTTACTGCAAATCAAACAACTCTACCCAGATACCAGAAAGAATGCCTATGGTGCTTCAGGGGGAATGTTCCAGTACAGAGCTAACTGGGCACAGGAAAAAAGTACTCCTCCTGCCACTGCCTTTGAAAGCCTTGTAAACAGCGCTTCAAAAAGCAGCTTTCACAGCAGTGGTAAAGGAAGGTATTTTCTCTCTAGGTCAAATCCACTGTCTGGTTGCAAGAATATTTAGGAAATATGAGATGTTTCAGAAGTTTTCAAGGTCAACTGTGAAGCCAATTTCATCTCCTCTCCCAGAAACATAACTTTTCTATACCTACTGAAAAGAATATTACAAGTCTTCAGAAATGAACACAACTCAAACAAACAAACAAACAAACAACAAAAAAACCAGCAAAGAAACAACCAGAACTCACCTTTGTTCTTAAATTTCCAACTTCATTCACCATTTCAGAATACCTATTTTTCATTTCTCCCTGGAAATTAAATTGGGACTCTCTTTCTCTGGACTCGTGCACTCTTAGTTTCTTCACAGCTCTGTTCAGAAGCCTCTTGCACCTGCACAACAAATCAGTCCAGAAAACATGCAATAGTACTATGAATCTATTTGTCACACTTGCATGTGAAAAGCATAGCTTCATCTTCAAGGTTGCTTCCTCTCTAACATGTTCAACAGGCCAACAGTTAATAAGAAGATCCAGCATTCCAATGCAATAGGTCACATGGAGGGTCCAAATTTCACCTCAATAGAGGAAAAAAAGACCTCCCTCTCTCAGGAGAAGTGCAGGGCAGCCTGCATTTGCTGTTCTTTTGGCACCTATAGAAAATCATAGGCTCATGTACCAGAACTGCCCTGCAAGAACTGATGTGAGATTTGAATTTGTTTAGAAAGGGTTAAACATACCTACTTTTACATTCGAGTCCCATAAAGCCTGACTTCTAGCCTGTGTGAGCTCTCTTTCAAGTACCAATGAACCATACCTGTGATGTTCTTTCTGCAGTTCAACGTTTCTTTTCATTTCCTGGTCAAGACGTGCTTCAACTGGTCGTTTCAACTCTACCAGCTTCTTCACTTTCTTTCTTTCAGCCTCACACTTTCAAAAAAACAAACAAAAAAAAAAAAAAAAGGAAAAAAGAAAAGCAACAAAAAACAAAAAATCATGTCACACTCAGCACAGAACACTACACGTTGCAACTGCAGGTAGCACACAGATCCCTTCACAGATCCCTTCACCAAGTTCAGCAGAACACTGGGGCACAGGATTCTTGTGAACATTTAATCACTTCAGGTTTCACACAAACAGGCCGATACCCAGGGATACCAATCAGTGCCCCTGCTGAAGCAAATGCTCCCCCCCCCCCCCTCCCCCCTACGGGGCTTTGTCCCAAAAAGCTGGAAAAAAGATGCAAGAAAACAGCTTCCACAGTTCCTCTGCAAATAGGTCAGCTTGCATAGGTAGCCACAGTCCTGGAGAACAACGCAGACTCTAGAGCATTCATGGAATCCCCAGTGACCAGCAGGCTCTTGCAGAAGAGTCTGCTTTTCTGGAATTCATCAGGGCCTCCTCAGTCATTACTTCCACATCCTGTTTGTGGGTGTTTACTAATTCGGGTGTTGTTCCTCGTGGTGTTTTCTCAGACAAACCAGAGGAGAGCTGGAAACTAGTTTTGTAGTTTGCACTTGCATCTTACTTATTCTGCAAGTGTTTTAAGCTCCTCCTGTTCTGAAAACATGCAGCAGTTCCTCCATACACTGCCACTGAAAATAAGGGGTGTTTTAATCCTGCCCAGAAATCAAGGGGTCAGACAACAACCAGAAGGAAATCAAATAAATAACTCAGGAACCGCAGCCTTGCTCCATGTGCTCAACTGGTATCAAACCACACTGTCTTCCTGATAGGACAACTCCAGCATTTCAGAGATATACTCTGTTGGCTTTTATTAAATTCCTTCATGACTCCCAAATCACAACAGTATTCATGGCCCAAGCGGCAAGGATATAAAAAGCTGAGTATGTAAGAACTCAAGAAAATGTCAGCATCATTTTGAGTACTGGCCAGGTGTTAGGGACTGTCTGTTTTCTGGGCTCACCTGTTCCAAAAGCTCAGCCTTTTCCCTATCAAGTTGAGCAAGACGATTTTCAAGGAGGACTCTTGACTTCACTTCTTCCTCCCACATACTGCGTGATTCTTTTGATGTCATAGTCAACATATCCTGCTTTTGCATCTGTGGAAACAACAATAGCAAAAGGAATGCCAAGATAACTAGAGAGACAACACTGCACATGAACTGCATTATAAACTAGTAACTCAAATGAACGCAGGGCTAAGCTCTCACCACTAAAGACCTACACTGAATGTCATACAGAGTGTATAAAACGTGGCATCAAGAACAGCATTTAATGCTAGTGGAAAGAGTGAATGCCCTATATGAGATAAAATGAGGTTACATCCGTTGGGGATAAGAAGACACGCATACAAAATTACCCCCAAAATTTCTTCATGAAATTCTCCAGATTTCATAATGATACAAAAATAACTACATTTATAACTCATCTACTGCCCAACACAGAAAATTCCCTACACTCACTGACTGTGTAATAACTGCAGATCTTCTCAGAGCAAGAAAATGTTCAGATCAGAAACATTACTTACACTTTTACCCAAAAGAACAAAGATTTGCATCACAGATGCATTTGTGTGGAAACAAGTTATTCAGTTCACTTTGTAAAGAATGAAAGTTGCCTAGACTCTTTGAGTAATATATTTTAAGAAAAAGAAAAAAAAAAAAAAAAAAAAAAAGAGATGCCCCCTGATCTACAGAAGGACACAAAAACCTTAGCTTAAAGGCTTACACAACAAACTCATAAAACTTTCTCATGCGTCCTTACAGAATAGGTTAAATGCTGGTTCTCAATATGTGACAATGTATAAAAACCCAATGACTGCTTCCAATTGGTGCATACCAATTGGACCAAAGGAAGACGACAGTAAAGGAACCTGGAAAAGAACTCAGACTTTTCTGGGGCAGATAACCAACAGTTTTTCCCTTCTACTAGATCCTTCTTACTCTCCCTACAGCAGCTTAATTTTTCATCAGCAGACTAATTCAAGAATATTCCAAGGTTACACAAAATGCTAGGCTGTGCACACACACTAGCTGCTTTCCAGCTGCCTGCCACTAAACAGCATTACCTCACCTAGTTGCTTTTTCCTTACCTCAGCCCCCTGTGTAGCTGAGGTACTGTACACGGTACCACAGTACCAAAGTGTACAGTACCAACACATATTCACAAATGGGAAAAGAATCTAATGAGCTCAGGTGGAAACTATGACAAAGCTCTGAAGATGAGACAGATTTCCAATGTCTAGTTTCCCCTCTCAGCTCTCGCTACCACACATCTCCCTCCTGCTGACATCATCCACCAAAAGAATCATGCTGATGAACACAAATATCTGCATAGCACTGAAAAGATAGAAAAGGCAGCAGGGAAATACGGAAATTTACAACCTTTGCCCTTGAAGGTGCCTTGTCCTGAAACCTATTTTGTCAGCGTATTTGTACCTTACAGTCCACCCAATCTTTCCAATCAATTACCTGCATACAAGACATAAAAAAACTAAACCAGTTATTTTCAGAAGTCATTGAGATACCTGCTGATACTGGTACTTTTCTGCGGCTGTCTGTGCTGTCCGTAAGCACAACTCTTCTAGGCGATGATGAACCTAAGAAAGCACCAAAAGAAGAAAGAAGATGCTACCTTTCCAGACTGACGTTCACATTTCATTATAAAAAAAAAAAATTGCACATATCTTTCCATCACTTTATTCTTTTCACACTTATCCTCACCATCAGTCATGAGAAATACCTCAATCTGATGCTATGATAAAACTATTAGCAAACATTGCCTCTGCCAGTTGGCTTCAGGGAGAGAACTATGTGGAATACAAAGAACCTTCAATCACAGAATCATACAATTGCTCAGGCTGGAAAAGACTTTCAAGATCATCAAGTCCAACTGCATCCTAACCCTACTACCCTAACTCCGAAAATGAACACACAAAGGAGCTTCTCCCATCCACCATACATTTGAAAACCATGCTGTCTTAACCAAGGGGGAAGAGTAAGCACTTCTCTCTTCTTCTGCCAGTGCCAGTACAGCACAAAGTTCAACTTTCATGTATAGCTATTTTCAGAACCTCTTAAACATTAATTAACAACCACAGGTATAACAAGGTCCCCAGATCATTGTTTCGAATACAAAAATAATTTGCTTCATATAAAACACATTATTTATGCTAATATCAATCACCCTATTTATGTTAACACCACTGACCAGGGGGAAATTGCAAGCCTTTCACCAAGTTCTGCAAATAATACCATGGGGATTCCTCTTTACCATTTCATGAAAGCAAATACACATCAAGCAGCCAATGGAAAAGCAATTCCACACAGCAAAATGCCTGGGGAATATAATTCTTGTGCCAGCCTGATGATGTCAGTCAGGCCTCTGGCACGAAGCTCTTGGAACCATCACACATGTGAAATTTCCCTGAAGAAACCGCAGAATGCATTTTAAGATACACATTCCAGTATGTGTCTGCCATCTAACATCACGATTGGTATAAAGAATAAAATATTTAAACCAGCACTACAGTGACAAAACCTCACCACATATAGCGTTAAGTAGGACTTGATATATTATTACAGGAAAACTCTCAAAACCAGAAAGCTGGAGAATAGACCAGCAGGATTTTCAGAGTACCCTACAGTCAGCACAACTCAGGTGACTCACCTCCCTCTATGCTCCCCAGGAAAATCATGTAGCTTCCCCACAAAAAATATCTAACTAGGCTCAGAGGCTCACACTGAATAAACAAACAAACAAATAAATAAATGAAAAGTTTATGACTGGCTTACTGAGGCTGATGCTTGCATATCCTTCTGAAGAGCTTCAATACTATTGGTTTGTTGTTTGGTTGTGACTTCCAATCTGGCATTTTCAATTTCAAGTCTTAAAGAGAAACACAGATCTTATTAGAGAAATCCATAATGGCACAAGTTGTAAAGGAACACTGTGAAAGAATGCAACTTAAAACAAGAGCTTCTTTCAAAATCATGCATTACCATGATGATGCAACAAGGCAATCCTAATGCTTTCAAAGAATCTCAGAAAGCAAAACCTTGCTTCATTATGTTATTTTCTTACCGTTGCACATGTTCTTCCAGTTGTTTTATAACAGCATTGGTTCCAGAAGTTGCTAACAGAAGGTCTTTCAGTTTCTGGGAAGAAACTGATATTTCTTTTTCCTTATTATCTAGGACAGTCTTCAAGTCATGAACACAAAGCTCAGACTGAACACGTTGTTCTTCAGATTCCTGTAACTGTAAGATAGCAGTGAGAATCCTCAGCACCCAGGTTAGTTTCTCTATAGAGAACTCAGTGAGTGCTGAAGAATTTGAATATTGCACATATCTACACACACCCTCTACCCAAAGTATTGTAATCATTTCCAATTCATTCAAGCTCTCATTTCTCTTAGCAAATGAACAATAACAGACAATATTTCATCATCTGTGATACTGGCCTCTTCCATCTGTACAAAGGATTTTCTCTAACACCATTATGAGCACTGACACTGCTAATCCTACATTCTCAGTGACTTGTAGAGACTCAGAGACTCTGTAGCTACTTGCCTGCTATTCTATTGAAAATATTAATTAAAAAATTAATCCTTCTCCTAAAGTGATTTCACAGTTCAAAAGTAGATTCTTATGATATATGTTTCAGTAAAAAACAAACACAACTCTCACAGAGAGCAGAAAAGGAAAACTCAAATTCAGCTGTCCAGTATTTCTACTGTTTCTCAGAAATCGGACATCTACTTGGCCAAACCAGATGCTATAACCTGTAGAGACACCAGGTAATTTTGCAAAGCAGCTTATCAAATACAGACCTTCATGAGGTAAAGATATTGTGACCTCGTGTCAAAGACCACCCAATCACAGACACCAGGTGCATAGAACAATCCAATTCATACATATGTAATTAAATCTATATATTGAATTTATTTCTAGGATAGGAGGACAACATTTCCTTATACTCTGAAACCTCTGCTCTGGTTTGGCACAGGCATGACTGTGATCACAGATGACAAGGGGCAAATTGAGAAGACTAAGTAGGTAAAGACCTGCTTACAGCATTTACAACCAACCTTATAAGACACAGAAAATTAATTTGTAAATTCAGAGCACCCATGTGATGTCGCTTCAGATAGAGCAAACATCCCATACACAAACAAATTCTTAGTTGTGTCTGATACCAGGAGAGGGAAGGAAGTTGGAAAAAGAAAGAACACTGCTGCAGTACCCTGGAGCCTCAAGAGTAGCTTTAGCTGTGGGGTTGAAGAATGTCTCCTACTTGCAAAAGAAACTAGTTGGCTTTTTGATGATTCCAGTAACACTCATCTTTCACTATAGAGGAGGAAGCCAGCTGGCAAAGATTTCACTGGTGTCATGAATCATGACAGGGTATCACTGCTAACCTCCTTAGCTCTCTCTGCTACTTGTTCTCAGAATATTATTTTTCTCTTCTTCACCAAAAACAGGAAAAAAAACCCCTCAGATTTATATGTATAAGTTACAGCCTCTCTGTACCTTGGTTTTAACCCTGTCCAATTCCTTTTGCAAGCGCAATTTGTCTTCCTCAAGGTCACTGCGGTAGCGTGTAGTAACTTCAAGGGAAGCTTCTGACATGGACTGCTTTTTAAGAGCATCAGCAAGCTCCTGCTGTAGCTGTCTGACCAAAACCTAAAGAAACAGTTAGATAAACATGAGGAAAAACATGAAATTTCACTTTACTCCTTTAAACTGACTAGATTATACAATTCAGCCATTTACCAAAGTCTTCCTTAAATACAAGAGAAAAACAACGAACCTCAACAAAACAACATAATTTGGTCCTATGCATATAACTTACACCTGGTGCATTCCAGAAATACAAAATCATTTTATGGATTGAAACATTTTAATGTTTCAGTTGGGACTGGAGCACCTCCCCTACACAGAAAGGCTGAGGGAGCTGGTCTTGTTCAGCCTGGAGAAAAGAAGGCTGAGGGGGGACCTCATTGCAGCCTTTCAGTACCTAAAGGGAGCCTACGAACAGCAGGGGAATCAACTCTTTGAAAGGGTTGATAACTGCAGGACAAGGGGAAATGGTTTTAAGTTGAGGGAGGGAAGATTGAGGTTGGATGGCGGGGGAAGTTCTTTACAGAGAGAGTGGTGAGGTGCTGGAACAGGCTGCCCAGAGAGGTTGTGGATGCCCCATCCTTAGAGGTGTTCAAGGCCAGATTGGATGGGGCCCTGGGCAGCCTGGTCTAGTATTGGATGTGGAGGTTGGTGGCCCTACATGTGGCAGAGGGGGTTGGAGATCCATGGTCCTTGAGGTCTCTTCCAACCCTGGCCATTCGGTTATTCTGTTATTCCTTTTAATTGTATAGCTTACCTCTCTTTCTACTTTGTCAGTCTCATATTTAAAGACTTGTTCCCTTAAATCAGTACACTTCGTATTTAATTCTTTGTTTCTCTCTTCCATGAGGTAAACTTGCTTTTCAGTATCAGCTCTGAGTTTGTTGAAAATATCATTAAATCTGTCCTGGACATCATTCACAACCTTTTCTTTGATGATCCCCTTGTTCTGCAGATCTTCCAGCTGCTGACGGAGTAAGAGGTTTTCACTTTGGAGCTGAGCCAATCGTTCCTGCATAGATTCCTGCTTTATCATAAATTTGCTGACTTGATCTTTCTCAAGTTGCCGTGCACAGTCACTTTCTTTGGCCTGGCACTGGGCTTGATTTAAGTCTTTTTGCGTCATTTCTAAAAGCAGTGTTTTTTCTCGAAGTGTTTGTTTCAACTGGTGAAGCTCACTTTCTAGACAATTAGCTTTCCTTTCCATCTTACTCAGCTGCTGAGACAAGCTCTTGTTGGTCTCTTGCGCATGAGAGAGCTCATGATGGAGCTTGTCTTGTAAACGATGCCATTCATCACGTTCTTTCTGAAATGTTCGTTCAGCGTCACTTTTCAATGACTGATGACGTTCAAGATCTTGAACAGCAGCATTCAAGCGGGAACGGAATGATTCAATTTCTGTTTCCAGTCTGTCTTTGCTTTCTCTTGTCTGTTCAAGCTTGGAACTTAGCATTGCAGATTCTGTCTTGAGTAAACTCAGCTGTCCATTGTACTGCAATACTGTTTGTGTTAAGGCTTCCTCATTCAGCTTAAGTTCCTTCTGAAGATCGTCATTTTTTTCTTTCAAAGACTCATTTTCCCCTAAATATTTTCCTTCATCCTCCTGGTGCCTAAGTTTTACTTGATCAAGTTCAAGTCTTAGTATAGCAATCTCTTCTTGCAGTAACTGATTTTTGTGCAGCAGATCCTTTTCTCTGTCATTAGTGTCAGATTCCTGTGTGATAAAGGACATGAATGAATAGTCAGTTGGGAAATAAATTCTAGTTTAACCTGGCAGGCAGCTAGGCACCACACTCCCCACCACTAAGTGGGATGAGGGAGAGACTGGAAACAAAATAGAACTCATGGGTTGAGATAAAAATAATTTATGAAGCCAAAAGATGAAAAAAAAATGGAAACAAGAAAGTGATGATAGTACAATAACCAATTCAAAAGCCAAGTAATAGGATCACAGTCTCAGCCAATTTCTTTCCTTGTTAGTCTCGAGTTTTCTGGATGTTTCACTGATAGAAACCTTAAAAATAATTATAGCAACTATACAGTAAAGAACAGCAGATAGCTTAAGGAAGTGGGAACACAGCATCTTATTTTCCAGTGGCTTCCTGCTTCCACATGCAGTTCAGGTATATGTGGGATTGATGCTGCTATCCAGAATTTTTAAAGACAGCAGTAACAAAACTGGGTTATATTGATGAACTGTAGATAATCCACCAAAATGCACAAAATGTTATTTTTCTTATGATTCTAGAATGAGCACAGAGAAATATAACCAAATTAATTAGAAATGGAACTGCTTACCTCTGAATTTTTTCCTATAGTTTTTCTTGTCTCTTCTTCCAGTTCCTTCTGTCTCCACAGGTGGCTGTTCAAAATTCCTTCTTGTAGAGCTCTAGCACTCTTTTCCTGAGAGAGCTGTCTCTGTGTTTCATCACGCTCTTCTTCAATCTACAGTAATATAATTAAGCTTGTGAATCTTGAGCAAAATTAGCAATACCTTCCTATTTCATTCTTCTTTGCATCCCTATTTTCTAGTAATTCTAGTAAGAGCTGTTTATCATAAAATCATAGAATGACCTGCATATCAATTTTCCATGTTTGCAAACAAATGTGTTTAGGTTTATCTGAATTGAAAGTTATAAGGATAGTGTGTGTCCGTTGCACAAATCAGCATTATAGAAGTTCTACACTTAATGAAATGAATCTCTCTCCATAACAAATGAAAAAAAAAAAAAACCCACCCCAAACTACTATTCTTGGAAATGTACACAGTTTAAGCAGAAAGCCAAGTTCTCTTTCTAACATACTACATATACACACTAAAAATAGAGATGAACACTCATATGCTTACAATCAAAGATCTGAAAACATCTATTATTAACACTAACATTAAGAACTGCATAAATCAAATGAGTAACATTTCCAAAAGCACAATAATTACATTCTCTATACTCCACTGCAAGGTCCTAAGCCTCCATCTCTTCTACTAATATTTAGAAATGCTTCAGAACATATGCCAATATATTTTCAGTTTACCAAAATCTAGCAATACTGCTGTACAAAATGAGTTACACGGGATTTCCAGAAATTATTAATGAAGTGAGACACAGAAGAGGACTGACCAGCGGAACAAACAGACCAGGAGGTAAACTAATGCCAATCATGCCCTCATAAAATTCAGGCAGACTGAAAGAGGTGATGCTAACTACTTCCTGCTCCTGCCAGAACAACGTAGCCACTGAAGATCCCCAATGATCACTTTCATGTGTTCTTAATGTGTTTGCAAATGTAAGTTTTGCAAAGTTGAGGCTTAAAAACACAACAGAACAGACTGAATTTTTGAGGTATATTTGAAACTGCATGACAGGAATGCTGAAAAGTATGTCAAGGCCAGTGGAAAGATCCTCAAAACTGTATGTAAAAAATGTATGTAAAAAAAGAATTTATGCAGATTATGTACAGTAAAAACATCATCATCTCAATCAAATTAAATAAGGCATTAAGCTTGTAATAAAAATAAAGTTGAGAGATTTTCTGGATTCAGTCCTGACTTTAAGATTATCAGGCAAACAGTAACATTTAGGCCTAAATTTAAATCCATGTAAGTATACTTGAAAGAGTGCTATAAACAGTAACTCTAATTTCCTCCTGAAAATGAAAAAAACAAACCACACACACACAGTTTTGTAGTAATTAGAAAAGATAACTCAAAGTGAGGTTTTGTCTGAAACACAAACCAAATTATAATTCTGAAAAATGAGAAAAGGAATCATGAACTTGTTTGTTCATGTTGGTTTGAGGACAATGGTCCTCAAAATGTACCAAGATGGTTGGTTATATAATGCCTCACTCACAAACAAGCTTTGTTGAACATACTAGCGTAAAATATCAATCAGAAAGAAGCAGAAAAACAGAAGCTAACAGGTTTAATATACCTGTTTCATGAGCTTTCTCAGTGTTATTAACTCCATTTCTAAATTCCTTGCACGTAACTCAAGTTGTTGTTTCTCCTCTGCCTCTCTACAGTATTGATCCTCTTTCTTCCTTAGTTGTTCTCCTATTTTTTCATATTGCATTTCAGCTCTAAGCCTCTTTTGCTCTTCTTGTTTCAAAGAAAATCTGGGATTTAAAAGAGAATATTTGAGGAATTAAAGCACTCACAAAAAAGTAAATATGCCACACCATGAACTTGCAGAAACAAATTAAACCATAAAAATGTCACATCTTTTCAAATACAGAAGTTTTGCTGCAATTTTAAACTTTTAAAATAACTCTAATTTCATTCCATTAGTGGTGAAAGACATTTTGTACATGAGCTGCACAAGGCTGACAAATAAGCCATTTAGTAATGTACAAAATTTATCATGTATTTTTAAGTTTACATAGGTAAACATGAAGAATAATGCACACATCTGTAATTCCTAAAAAAAACCCCCAAAACTTCACATTACAGGTGCACACTTCATTCAAAATTAGTTCACAGTCTTACCAGATCAAAATACCATAAATTTTTAATATAAAAAATATACTGTATTTAATATGCTGAACATCATCCACATACTATGGATTCACTGTGACTGCAAGTAATACTAACAAAACAACACATCACTTGTCTAAGACAAATCCAAAACCTTTTAAGAACCCTTTCCAGGACTATAACAACTGCTTACCATCTGTGAAGTAACTTTTTCTTTTTTTTTTTTTTTTTATTAAATAAAGGATAAGGATAGTGCTCCAAAAAGGATTTAGAAATGTTAAGCTTAGTATGATTAAAAAACACAGTTACAGTTTTAAAACTCACTGGATTTACATGTGAGAGAAATAATAGCAACTTGATTTTCCATCTAACTGATAAAAACACCTTGGAGAATGTTAGGCTTTTTTTTAATAACTGAAATAATTAGCAATAAGCATTGATATGGTTAAAACAGTCATTGTGTATCCACAGTAAGTAAACAAGAAAGCATTTTTGTATTTGCTTCTTATTTTGAATATTTTTCCAATATTTTTGTCAACAAATAAGAAAGTAACTACGAACATAAAGAAAGAGGTACCCCAAAAAATCTGCTTTACTAATTCTGGAAAATGAGTATCAGCAACCACTAATAAATAGCTCAAAAGATTGGCTGTAACATCAGTATTTAAATAGCTTATACTCAAGGAGAAAGCTTTACATATAATTGTTACCTTAGTTTCCTGAGAAGTACAGCTTTTACAAACATATAGCTAATTAGCTAACACTGTTATGAGATTTTACATAGAAAGAAAAAATTAATTCCTTGTTTTTATAGATGTTTGGGAATTTTAAAAGATATTTAGAACCAAATCCAGGCCAAATTAGGAATGGCTTTGTCTTACTCTGTCTTACTCATAATCCCCTTCCATGTACTGTGAGACTGCTGGCGTATCTCCTTGAAGTCCATTTCCCTCAGCTTCTTCTCACAGAGAAAGTGCTCCATGCTCTGTGATCAGCCTGGAAAGCCTCTGCTGAACTCACACATGTTGACCATGATCTCTTGTACAGGGAGGCCAAACGTTGGACCCAGTGCTCCAGATACAGACCAACAAGAGCTAAGTAGGGATGGATCCCTCCCTTCACCTTCTTGGGTCTCTGCTCTTCTTAATGCAACCCAGGATGCTGTTGGCCTTCTCAGCTGCAAGATCATTCTGGAACATGTTGCTCTTAATCTCTGCCAAGGCCCCAAGAGGCTTCTCAGCAAAGCAGCTCACCAGCAAGAGCATTTTACTGTGTATTCTCACAAGGGGTTTCTCCATCCCATGTGCAGGGCTTTGAATTTGTTCTTAATGAATTTTATATAATGCCTGCTTGCCACCCCTCTGAAATGGTGTAAACAGTGACTAAAGACCACCTGCATGTAGCTCAGGAGTAGGAGGACAAGGAAACAATACCAAATTTGACCTTCAATCAAACACACCCAGTAAACTGTTTCAATTTTTGGTCTGAGGAGTTGCCATGATTCCTGATTTTATATAAAAACAGAAGGTACAAAGACAAAACCTGTGAAATACAACTCACAAAACTGCTTTTATGTCCCACTCCCTGGAGGTACTTAAGAGACACATGACTATAGCACTAAGGGACATGGCTTAGTGGTGGGACTTGGCATGCTGTTGATGGCTGGACTACCAGCATCTTCTAAAACATGACCAGAATAAAAAACAATCAAAATGCAAGATTACATACTTAAGGCTTCGGATATCACTTTTCAATTCCATTTCTTGGTGAGTCAATGTGGATTTCAAATCTTCAGTCTCTTCTGCTATTAACTGTGACTCCTCTTTTTCACTTTTCAACTTTCTGACTTCTTTCCAGAGAGCTGCATAGCGATTTTTTTCGTGATCTATTCTCTGTTCATATTCAAGAAGTATGTTTTGAATTTTCAGCAAAATAGCAGAATCTGTATGGAGACAAAAAGTACACAAAACTGCACATATGCATGAAAACTTTCCACTTTACAATCTATTTAATTCTTTGGTGAATTGGGTATAGGTGTCAAGGTTTTAGTCGTGGGGAAGTCTCTCTAAGAAATACCGAAAAGACTGTGCCAAATGCAGTGGGTCCAACAGACCCACTACTGGACACAACTCAGCCTATCAGCCAATTTTATGGCACCTCCAAGAAAGCATATTTTGGAAAGGGCAAAAACACCACTTAGGCAGAGGAGGAGGAAAAACAGGTGTAAATAACAGTGGAAACATAAAGGTAAGATGAAAGAGAGAGAGGAAGAAAGAAGCACTCCAGGTGAGGGTTCCCAAACAGCCTGTGAAGAGCACCACAATGGAGCAGGTGTTTCTCTGCAGCCCTTGGAAAGGGCCCCATTGGAGCAGATACCCACACTGCAGACCATGGAAGACTCCACTGTAGAATAGGTGGGTAATTCCCCTAAAGGATCTTGGCCTGTAAAAGGACCTATGCTAGAGCACAGAAAATGTGTGAAGAGGTAGAAGAGGCAGAGAGGAACTATCATGTATTGACTGGAAAGCCACCATCCTCCTTGCACTGCTCAGGAAGTGGCAGTGAAGAAGCAAAATTAAGTGTGAGAAAGTGGTGGCTGGAAGGTGTTTTATTTACTTATTTTTATCTTTCTCACTCCCCAGTTTAATTAGCAAGCAATGAAATTAATTTTCACAAGTGGAGCCCATTTTGTCCATGACAAAAAGTAGTGATGGCTTTGCCTGTATCACATTTCTTGAGCTTTTTCAACTCCTTTATTTACCTCCTTCCTCTCCTGTTGAAGCGTGGAGGTGAGAGTGCAGGTGGGTGGAAACAAGGCCTTTAGCCACAGTTAATCCACATTTGCCTAATAAAGTTTTAGTGAAAACTGAGAAAATTAGTGCTGCTTGTATTTATATCAAGCTATGTGTATACATGCAAGCATATTACAACATTTCATTATAGATTTCTTTATTTGTTTTTAGCAAAACCATTATTTTGTGGAGCATTACTTATTAAGGGGCATAAAGAGGAAGAAAAAAAAAAAAAGACTTGTCTTTTTTTCTTTTTATCACTACATTTGAATGAACTGGTCTTAGGGAGTAGGGTATGGGCAAGAGTCATTTTTGATCATAAATATTAGACCTAAATATGACACTAAGGAACTGTGAAGGTACACAAGGAAACGAGAGTTTTAAAAGATGAGCTTGTAACAGAAGACAAAGTGAGTTAGAGACTTACCTGTATGATCCACACTAAGCTGTTCTAACAGCAACATAGCTTCTTTGTAAGTTGAAGTTGGCAACTCAGCATCCTCTGTAGTTGTATCAGATGACTGTGTTAAATCAAGGTCATCAGTAACATCCATTTGCATGCTGACCTACAGACAACACAGTGTGTATACAAAACTATGTTATTACAGATCATTATAAATGCAGGAACAATTCATTCTCTCACTCACAGCCCATGAATTTGACTCAAATAGTACAAAGCTGCTTATCAGCAGAAATCTTTGCATCTAATTGAACATGATGTAAAAGCTGACACAGTTAAAGTGATTAAAAACCGATTAGAAAAAGTAATTTTACAGTACCTTGCCCTTTTCACTCCCTGTTTTTGCTGCAGACCTGGAAAACAGAAATACATTTCAGTACTGGAATGCTTACACAACATGAACAACAATTAACTGAAAGTGCTCTGAAAACTTAATTTGAGAAGTGAATTAAACTGCAGTTTAATACAATAACTGTGTTATACGTAGTCATGTAGTTGGAGGCAGAAAAAAAAAACAACAAAAACACCATACGTGTGCTGGAAGGCTATTTTTTCTGCATTATATTGTTAATTATACAACAGCCAAAGTTGAAAAGCACCTCCAGAAAGGCTCTCAGGTCTCCCCAGAGCCTTCTCTTCTCCAGGCTGAGGAGTCCCAGCTCTCTCAGCCTGTCCTCATAGGGGAGCTGTTCCATCCCTTGGATCGTTTTTATGCCCTCCTCTGGATTCAAAGTATAACAGATCCACATCTCTTCTGGATCCACATCTGGATGCAGTACACTTGGTGAGGTCTCACCAGTGCAGAGTAGAGGGGCAGGATCACCTCCCTTGATCTGCTGGCCATGCTGCTTTTGATGCAGCCCAGGATATGGTTGGCTTTCTGGGCTGTGAGGGCACACTGCTGGCTCACGTCCAGCTTGCCATCCACCTGCACACCCTCAAGTCATTTTTGGCAGGGGAAAATCATTGTACGCATTCAGTTTGTAAAATTTATCTTTAGTTTTCAGGACAATTTTTGTAATCATTAAATGTATTTATCATATTCCTTATATTCAGTACCTTTCTTCAGCTTGGGATGTTTCACTGCAAGTGCTATCATCCGTTACTTGAATCTTCTGATTAGCCTTCTGCTTTGAAGACTGCCTTTTATTCTCATTTTTCTTCATACCTTTTGCATTCATAACAGATTTACTGTATTGAACAGAAAGAAAAAAAGTCACCAATTGAGTACATTACATAAAATAAAAAACACTCTACGAAAAAAAATCAAGACTAAAAATGCCTGTTAAAACACAGGCTTGATTCCCAAGATCTGGGAAGATACTCAAGTAAGCTGGAACACCTCTCTCTCCCCATTAAAGGATGTACTTAGAGCACAGATTTTCCTGAAGAAGGTGCAGATAAAAATTCCTGCCAAGGGTAATGCAAAAGCATCTTTGCTTTCTTCAAACTTCTTAGAATTGTTTGGTAATATTATTGTTCCCTTTTTCTTGACAAAGAGAGTCTGAGTTTAATGAAAACAATTCCATGAGGAACACTAATATCTCCTAGAAAAGGGAGAAAGTAAACTGAGTTCCTGCTTTTCTGTTCTGGGTGGCTATTTATTAAGAAAATAACATTTTCTCAACCTCCAGCTAAGATTCTGAAGACACGACTAGTGTCAGTATTGAGGAAAAAATTCTCTGGGCAGCCTGGTCTGGTGGTTGGCGATTCTGCACATAACAGGGGGGTTGAAACTAGATGATCATTGTGGTCCTTTTCAACCCAGGACATTCTATGATTCTACAATTAAGACCTTTATCTCCTCCAATGAAATAAACCTGAACCTCCATTGTGCACTTAGTTCTCAGAAAAAGATATTTTTTTAAAAGTTTGAGAAGTAGGAGACTACTCAGCATAGCTTTCAACACTGAGGAGAGTGCTTCAAATACAAGCTAAAAAAAGCCCTAAAGCTAAAACCCCTAAATATTACAAATAAGAATTGCAGAATGTTTTATTAGTTTACCCTTTTGTTGGCATTCTAGTTAATTTTGGTCTCTCCTCAGATGAAAAGTTCTTTGTGCGTTTTTCTTCTATCTTTTTTTCATCCTCAAGTTTTTTCTCATTCTTCCTTAGAGCAAGCTCTTCTTTAACTGGTTGATTGTTAATACTGCCTGCTGGTGTATTTAATTTATCAAGACCGTCCTCTTTCTCTACTGCTTGCATTTTGAAATGTTTCTGCTTCTTTTTTTCCTTCTCAACCTATGAAGAGAAAATTAAGCTTCATACATTTTTCTGTTTCTAAAGGCAATGTAAGACCAAATAATATAAGCTTGACTTCTAAAATAATGTAAAATAAAAAATAATTTTCACAAAAATTACTCTACAAAACGTACCAAGTCAACGAAAACACACTGAATTCACTCATGATTTGAAGTTCAACAAAAAAAAACCCCAAGCCTTAGGAAAGAAACAATAAAGGCATGACTGGTGCATTACTGCTAAGAAATTAGACAGACTACACAACATTAGCTGTAGAAATAAAAAAATATGAGTAGATGCATGATGGAGTACTTCCTTAATGATGAGGAAAAAAAACCTCACAAGCAGAAAGTTTCACAGCAATCAGGAATTTTAGTGAAAGGCAGTGAAGGCACGCCATGCACAAACCACAGCAAATGAAGAGATTAGTCAAGACCCTGTTCAGAAGCTATTTTCATTCCTTGATTGAGAATCAAAACTGGTGTACTTGTATGTATTTGTTTTTATGGCAATGTGGTGATAACTACTTACACTGGAACTGACTGCCACCTATTGTTAAACTGAATCAATACATTTTGATTTCTCAAAACCTTCTGATTACATCGTGGGGAAAAGTACAATTCACCACTGCTCTCCTTATTTATGAGTAATGTACTTCCCTTAAAACAAAAAAAAAGAAAAACAATTTCCACAAAGCATGATCAATAGCTAACATGAACAGGACCATTGATATGGAGAAAGACTAAGGAATAAGGAGCAGCAGGTGAACTTCTACCTCTTTTTGTAGCTGTACCTTCTCTTTCTCCAAAGCCAGGAATACCATTTGCAGCATTCCTACCTTACTCTTAAATCTTTGCACATCTTGTTTTAATTCTTCATCCAGATTCCTTTTCAGCATGCCACAAGGTTGCTGATCATGTGGAATAAGATTTTCAATTTCTGCTTCTCCTATTTCCTTGTTTTTGATAAGGCAGTCTCTGGAAACACTGTCACTAAGACAGACATCCTTACCAAATTTCTTCTCTCTGATAAAACCCAGTGTACTTTCATCATTTGTGGAAATAGGTCTTACTTTAGGAAGAATATTAGAAATGTCATCCAAAATATTTGTTTTTAAACAATGTCTTGGGGAATACTCAGGACTTCCCTCTACATTCCTACCAATCCCATTCTCATTTTCTTCCATTTCCTCTCCTCTTGCTAGAGGTACTTTTGTATTATCTGTGTAATTAGTGCAGTCTTCTTCCTCTGTACTCCAGGTATTTTCCATGTTTGCATTTAAGTTACTGTGATCAGGAAGGACACCGAGACTCTGAACTACAATTTCCACTTCGGGTTCTTTTACGTCTACGTTAAGTTTCATATCTCCAAATTCACCTTTACTTTCTAACTTATTATTTGATTCTGTCACACAAGATGAAACACGAAAACTCTTCAATTCTTCATTGAAGTCATCTTCTGCCACTTCTGCCACAAGGGATGTAGTTTCCTCAGATTCATTAATTTCACCGAACAGCTGCTTCAGCTCTGCTGTGATGTTTTTAAAATTTGTTTTCAATTCCCTTTTCTCTTTTTCAACCCACATTCTTTCATATCTTTCTTCCCACGGCTTTAGACTTAAATGCTTGACAGCACTGTGGGATTCCTCATTTTCTGCTAGGGCTTCCTGATGAGAAATTTCTGCTTTGTCAGTCTGTATTTCATACGCTGGGTTTTCTATCAGGTTGGTAGTTTCTAAAACATATTTATCCTTAAGTAAGCAGGTAAAGACAGAAAAATTACCAAGAAAAAGGAAATTACGGTTAAGCCATGTAATTTACATTGCAAACTCATTCTATCATACAACAAAAAACAAAAGGTACCACCTTATTTCTTTTTTCCTCAAAATGAAAGGATCTAGTTTAGAAACAATGGTTTTTCTGCCATTAGATTTCTCCAAACATGAGGATTGCTTTAGCCAACTACAGAGAGCAGGCAGGCTAAAAGGTGTCACTATGCAGTTTATGTTTTAGTACTTAAAAAATAAAAATAAAAATTAAAATTAAAAAAAAATATCAAAAGAAACCAAAAATCAAGAACAACATAAAATACAACTGCCCAAATTTTCCCATCCTCCATCACTTTCTACTGACTGGCACTTTACAATACCCTGTTAGTTGAGTTAACACAGTGTGAGTGATCATAACAAGCTTTTCACTATCCACCACAAGAGATTGATTACATTACAATCATTTATGCTCCCCAGAGTCAAAATTATTAAATTACATTCCAAGTTCCCAAGACAAATATTTACTTGGAAAACCTGTTCGCTGCTGCCCTCAGCCCAAAATCATGAACCAAGACATCTATCAAAACTACCGAGCCTCCTCATATCTCTGGCTCCTCTCTGGTGCTGACTGCTTGTACTGTGTGCCTCAGTCCCTGCAACATTATCCTTGGTTTGTGTTCCCTTCTGAGTAAGGCCTGCCACCTTGGCGTCCTAAGGGACCACAACCACTGATCTTCTTACTCTGGTTATACAGGCCCTTTTCTCCTTCCACATCTTAACTCCACAAAAATCTTTCACAATGCAGAGGAGTATCTCAGTCACCACCTCTCTCAGCCACTCCACTCCCAAGCTCCATTCACTCTGCACATCTGCTATCACCTTCCAACACTTAAGTCCTGTTCTCTATCTGCTGAAATTAATCACATCCCTCTTCCACGGTGCCTTGGATGTATGATGGATATTATTTCTTACTCCACTGTCCCTTGAGGTATAACAGAAGACTCCAGACGCTCACTGGAGACCCCTATGCAGTCCTGTATGCCCAGTACAAACAGGATACCTGGTTTATATTCCTCTACAATGGCCTCCAAAAAATATATTTTCAAACACTTATTAACTTGATCAGACAAGGATATATTTTGCAGAGGCAGAGAATGCATTGACAGATCATCATATTTCAAGTTTTTACTTAATCTTTCTCTTACAAAGAGGAAAATCTGGCATGTTTTGTCAAATAAATAATCACATCATAGAAAAATCTTGCTCCTAATTGAATATGTATTTTGCATAGGAAAAAAAAACCCACCACATGACTGCACTTTTTATCAGCATTGCACACAAGGAAAAACAGAGGTCAATGTTTAAGCAAACCAGCTGGAAACATAGCAGGACAATGTCAAGTATCCATCACAACGGCAAGCATTTTACACAACCATAAGAACACAGTATCTAACTTCAAATGATACAAACTTCATGTACAAGACTCTTTTCTCAGAACCATTTACTGACTGGTAAGCTTTCTTATACATTAACACATAATACAGTTTACCAATTCAGATATAATATTTGCTTTCACATACCTGCCTTCCACAGTTTTCAATGGCATCCTTGACCGTCTCTTTTTCAGCTGATGACACATGAAAGATATGTTCTGAGCCCTCACCTACAGTGAAGAAATTCCTTCTTTATAATGAACATGACTTATTACGACTTATTTATACCTACAGTACATTCTGAGTTGTTGCATTTGTGAGAAAACAACACAAACTAACACAATCTCTCAAGTGTATGATTTATGATTTGAAGATAATATAACACAGTTTAAAGATGCATCTCTGTGAACTACCCTCTCTCAAGGCATTCTCCCTTTCACGCACAAGTTTGATGAAAATCAGTACAAGTGGTCACAAATACACCTTTAATGATCTCAAATGGTTTATGTATATGTAGAAATATATTTATATACAATGACACACTGTATGCTATACTGTAACTGGCTAGATTCCTCTAGCTATTTTCACTGCTCCTTATTTTGTATGAAGAAGAGTCTCATTTAACCCTTTTAGAGTTAGAAATACATGTACCACAGGAGTCACAATGCTCTGCAGAAGAAATACAGCTTGCTGAAACCCAAACCCAAAAGTCAGAGAAACTTTCATATATACTTCTTAATACCTGGTCTTCAAGATAACACATAGATGGAGAGAAAAAAAAAAAGAGACAAGGAAGGATTAACAGAAAATATATGAAACGCTATGCTGACATAATATGAGCTATGAGAAGATTGATTTTCCTACCCAACTTTACAATGTTATAACATCCTGGACCATTATTGGACTACATTTCACATTACTGCATAAAACAGACAAAACTAAGACTCACAGAATCATAGAATCAGAAAGATTGGAAAAGACCTCCGAGATCATGGATAAATGAGGTTGCCAAAAATCACTATCCAACATATTTAAAGAGTTGTGGCAGTCAGGTGAAACCCTCAGTGACCGTAACAAGGGAAACATCACACTTGTTTTTAAAAAGGGTAAAAAAGGAGGTACTTCCCAGGATCCAACCAACCTTCTATTATGGAGTGACTGCAGTGACAGATTAAGAAACAGCAACTGATGTTAGCTACCTTGATTTAAGACTTTTTGCATGGGCTCAAATAACATACTTGTCTCTCCAAACTGGAGAAATATGATGGATGGATTGTTTAGTACATAAGGAAGTGGTGCCAAGTGGTGTAGCTGATATGTTAGTGAAAAGAGATGACATTCAGAAGGACAATGACAGCCTAGAGAAACAGGCCTCATGACGTTCAACAAGGCCAAGTGCAAAGTCCTGCACCTGCATTGGGCAATCATCAGCTCAGACTGGGCAATGAACAGACAAAGAGCAGTCCTGTGGAAAAGGACTTGGGGATAATGCTGGATGAAAACTTAGATACAAGCTGCCAATGCATGCTTGCAGTCCAGAAAGCCAATTGCACCCTGGGCCATAAAAGAGGCTCTGCATGGCCAGCAGGCCAACAGAGATGACTGTCCCCTTCCTACTCCACTCTTCCAAAACCCTACCAGGAGTACTGAGTTCAGCTCTGGGGCTCCCAACACAAAAATCTCCCATCAGAGCAGGTCCAGAGGAGGGTCACAAAGAATAATTTGAGAACTGGAACACTTTTCCTATGAAGAAAAGCTGACAGTGTTGGAAAATAAAAGACTTTGCAGAGACCATATTATGGCCTTTCAATAATTAATGGGGCTTATAAGAAAGATGAAGGAAGACTTTTTACTATGGCCTGTAGTGATAGTGCAAAGAGTAACAGTTTTAAACTGAAAGACAGTTTAGATAAGGAATAAATTCTTGATGAGGGTGGCAAGGCACTGGAACAGGTTACCCACAGCAGTGAGTTTGGAACTAGGTGATCTTTAAAGGTCCTTTCCAGTCCAATTCTATAATTCTATGATTCTAACAATCCTTACTGCATCTTACAGAAATACTATCACTGCAGAAGAGAACCTCCTTTTCTTTATGCATTGCAAATACACACACACACACACACATTTTTTCAGGAGTCAAGTTTAACCTCTATTGTTGTCAAAAGAAACAGTACCTTTTTTCCTAAGACAAGGATGTCAAACAGCTTGGAACAATTTCCATTCCATACTTAGAAATTGTAATAGTTTTCTGAATTTTTTCTAATCATCTACTTCATATGCTTGCTTATATAGGTTTTCACCTGATTTGTATTTTCAGGGGCTCATTGTAGAAATTCTAAGACCTGAATAGGCAACTGTTTTGCATCTTGCTAACAAACACTTAAATTCATACACATCAGAATGAAGAAACTAAAAACCCATAAAGGTTATATATCCTCTCTCCCATATATATATAGTGTATGATCTAGCTGCTTCACTTCTATCCTTGTTTCCCAACAAAAAGGAATTCCTGTCAACGTACTTCCACTCATTACCTCCCACTTAAACTTTCTTCCCTACATTCTTCCCCTAGCTCTAAATTCAGTGGTCAGTTTCACCAAAACGAGAGGAGGGGCTTCAGGAGAGAATATATATTACATGTTTTAAAACAACTGTCAGAGGTAGAGAAAAGTCAGGTAAATAATCACTCATGCTAAGTGCAGCATAAGCCTGGCAATCACTCTTACTGTCCCACCTGCAGTTCCTGGACAGCTTAGTATGCAGATCCCTTGCCTGGAACCAGACATAGGACATACTTCCTATTGCTCCTCTAGAAACTGGTATATTCAGAAACAGGAAGAAAAGTAAATTTGAAGACTTCCTGACAAGGGGTGATGATAGCAGATGGAAGAAGCTTATGCTGTAGAAAGGTTTTTACAAGCACTGAATAGCGGACTAGAGGAAAAAGCACTCACAGATGGAGGCATATTTCATTAAATCTTATGCTGAAATAACATAGCAAACATTAATAGCAGGAATTTACAAGTATAATGTGTGTGCCCACAAAGGAACATGACAAAAAAAACCTTTTAAAAATACCTTCAATATTGTCTACATCTTCTAAACTCAATTCCTCCTGTAGATCTGCAAAACAAATGAATCAAATGCTTAATTAAATGTGCTTCTCCAGAAAGATTCTGAAGTTAAACTCGAAATATCAAAGTCACCATTACCTGATTTCCTCCTTTCTTTTTTTGAAGGTGTTTCATTCCTCTCTAAAACTGCAGAAACCTTCAACTATGAAAGACAATCCAATGAACAAAAGAAGATAAATTCAAAGTAACTACATATTCTTTAGCAAGCAGGACAAGTAGACTGAAATGAAAATCATTTACCTGCAAATCACCGGATTTCTCTGAAAAGCCTGCAGGTGAAAAATGAAAGTGCTATTTTATTTAATTGAAGATACCTTTTACCCTGTACAACATCAGTAGGTTCTGCAATTGTTGGCTGGATGCTTTACTTCATTGAGAGTGCAACACCTAATATTCAATTATCTTATCACAGAGAATTCACAGCAGTATGCAAGAAACGCAGAGTAATTCCCATCATGCATCTTTTATTAAAAATGTTAAATCATAGAATGACAACAATTCCTGTGAAGCATTAAGTCATGCCTGTTAACAAAACAAGGTTAAAATATTTTATTCTTTTTGGAAGCTGAATTCTGCTTTCTAAAAGGACTAATTAGTGCAGAAAGCTCTATGAACAATCATAAAAGAATCCAGCAGCACTAGGACTACTTCTATCCCACTAGTGCTCAATGTTGAGGCTGCTTTCTCATTAACAGCTTTACAGAGAGCAAGGGTACAGACACAAAAATCTCATACAAATGTCATTCAATGAGGTAAAACTAAGCTGGTTCTCAACTGATCACTCTGGTTTAGCTTTCAGGGAAATAAATGATACAAATGTTGTTTGGTTGTAATGCACATGTGCATTATTCCAAATATTTTTGAAGTTTTGTGTCCAATTTTATTTCCAAACTCACACAACCTACTGCCCATGTATTTCTTGAATTCTGTGCTGCAGTCATCTTATAGTTTGAGTCCTCTGAAACAAGTATAGAAAATGCTTCTAGGAATGGTTCCACAGAAGAAGTCTCACATTAAAAAAATATTAATAAAAAACCACCAAGATTTGATTTTAGTACACATAGTGTACTGAAGTAACATGGAAATACCTTAGAAAGATTATCACAATCAGCTCTTCCCCCTTTCCATATTGATTTCAAACTTAACAGAATCATATGAAGCAGACTTCCATGACAGTAAGTTGATTTAGAGCTCCCAGAAGCTTGAAAAAAAGATCTGGTTCCATCTTACTAAACTGAATTTGGATTAGCCTTTTTGGTCATTATACCCATACTATAAGCTGGATTTCCAAATAATTTTTAAAAAGATAAAAGCCTTATTCCAATAGCAAAACTCCCCTTCTCAATCAGGATGGTCACAAGGCAAATGCCACAACCTGCAGGCAGAAACCTTCAGCAACAAAACCTAAATTTGTCCTCACATTTTAGTTACTACTCAAAGCACAACAGAAACCTATAAAAAATAAAGCTACGAAAAAGAGAAAAAAAAAAAAAAAAGCTTAACCAGATGATATTTTTCTTCTGCTGATTATCCAGGAATGACTGAATCCTCAAAAAGGTAAATCTTAAACTAGACACCACTCTTACCACATTAAGCAACAAGTTAAAGCAAAAAAAAAACAAAAAACAAATAACATACATGTCCAAAAAAACACACATAATGAACACAAGAACTTCCTTGACTAATCAAACAGGCCAGCAAGTGAAGAGTTAGCTGGTGTTAATTAACAATAGCCAAGCACTTCTTTATTGCTGTAGCACATAACCACAGCACAACAGGGCTCCTAAGAAAAACACTAGAAAAAGTTCACTTGTCTGTAAACAGAGACAAATCCAATCTATGAGAAAGTTACCATTGTTGTGCTTCCTTGAAATACTCTGCAAGCATATTCCGCGTTCAACTGCAGGTGGGAGCACCACAACAGGTGATACTTTCCCTGGAGTTCCAGAATACGGCTGTACAACAGAACATATGCATGAGAACTAGTACAATTTTTTTTTTTTTTTTTTTTTTTTTAATCAAATGAATGAAAGGTTTATGTATCTCTAATCAAAGGGCAAA